ACTGCTAAGCTAATAGCCAGATGTTTCGCCAGCGAAAGCCCTTACTGTGAAAATAGTTTACGTTAGGATTGGCTTCTTTTGGTGCGTGCATCTCCTCGTGAGGCGGAGTTAGCAGTCTCTGCTTACACCTGTCTCGGACTGGTACACAGGAACAAGGTGCTCCCTGTGGCACTCTGTGGCTGTGGCTGGCAGCGTCCTGTCAGGGGTAACCCTGGGGGCAGGTGGGAACAGACATGAGACAAGTAAGTTGTGGCAGGTACCGAAGCTCACACAGCAACCTCGCCAATTCTTACACCATTGTTTCCAGCGTGTGTTGTGAGAAAATGGTATGGAAACCTTCCTGTGCCCAAGTCTAGCTGGTGGTAGTCTGGGTGCGGTACCCACCTAGCTGTGCTAAGTTAGTTGTAGTGTCTCCAAACTTTGCATCTCCGTGAATATGTATCACTGCAGTTTTTGCTCAGCATGGCTTCAGGCCTAAGACATCATGCCAGAACAGACATCAGTCTTACCCACGGGAAGACTCCCATCTGTTTTCTTTACTAGCTGACCTACATGTACTGCGATTGGAAAGTTCAGTGTGTGTGCTGGTGTGGACCAGCATTCGTAGTGTGAGGGAGGTGATTGTCTCACCCTGCTCTGCCCTTGTAAACTCCATCTGGAATACTGCAACCAGACCTCGGGCACCCAGCACAAGAAAGATGAGGAACTGTTGGAGTGGTGCAGGATGCCCGGGTGGGTGGCAGCCCTGTCCACAGCAGAGGGTTGGAACTAGATGATCTTTAAAGTCCCCTCCAAAACCAAGCCATTCTGTGATTCTATGATAAAATTCCTTTTAGATCCATTCTCAGTTTAGTTCCATGTCACCTGTGGAAGCAACAGGATTTTCATGGAACTGTGGCATGACAAATTTTACCTGCTTATTTTGTGTTTGTTTCCTTGTGTTTCCCTCTCAATACAAATACTGGTATTTAAGGAGTTGGTCTGACAGCATGATTCCTTGTGGACCAAGACTGAAAACATGGGTAGTTGAAACGGTTTTGATATCTTCAAAGATGCATTCCAATATACAAATTATGGGCTTTGAGTGGCAATTTTATATGACAAAATAGTGTTGGAATGCAATCGGTCAGGAAAATGAAACACTGATTAAAGTATCTGTTCTTATCAATATAGGCTTTATTTACAATGTTTTCAAATCCACCGAATATGATATATTCAATAACTGAAACTTCCTTTAAAATGCTAGTTCACTTTATCACTGGTCTTCCATCTTTGCTGCTTACAAAAGCTGCAGAATTTTTTCTCAAATCATTTCTGTTTTCCACTCTGAAATTTAGATTAGTGGAAGAACACATTACTTCCATTCAAAGCTTCCAGGAGCAGACCAGTAGCACTTCAGCATGAGCTTTAGGTTAAGCTTTAGGAAAGGCTTAACTTTTAGCTTTCTTTGTTAGTAGAAGTGATTTACTTGAGCGTGACAGACTATGTGCTGCATGGTAGAAGTCTAATAATTATATGACATGACTGAACTAATTAGTGATGCACCTCATTAATGTGAAAGGATCTCTATCTTCTGCTCTTAAAAGAAAGCCTTAAACTGAGACCATACCTTATTTTGCCCTGCAAAATTAGAAGATGAAAAAAAGCTGGTAATTTAGTGAGGCGAGTAGTAAACTCTAGACAGTGTACTGCCCACTGGCAGATTCCATAATGTATTCAGAATTTATAAGTAATATTTCAACTACAGCACCTGACAAAAATACTCAGACTAGATGTCTTCTGGATTTCTCAAAAATAGGAGAAAGAGGATGCATAAGTTAAATTTGACAAAGATCATATCTCAAAATTCCTGGTTAGAGATTCTTTTTCATAGCAAAATTAAATAGATCTATAAATATGCAGTCTCTTCAATGCTTGATTTTATGGTGATCACATTATTAATACAGTCAAATTGCAAACATTATTCAAGTGACCTCGAATTCTTCTTGAGCAAAGTTCCATTTGTCTTCCAGGCAAATGCAGCATCATAATTAATACGAGGGCAAACAAAAAGAAATGCTATGTTATTGTATCACATCAGATCAAAGAGAAAGCTGGAAACAGAATCCTGATTTCTCGTTGTAGTCCAGCACTTGTTGTGCCTAACAGTGCAGATTGAGACAGCCAGCATAGCTGTGTCTTTGATCATCTAATTAATTCCAATATACAATACATAATATATAATACCTAATATAGGAATTAATATTATTTAAAATAATTATAAATTATGAATATAACATAATTATAAATAAAATGTTATTAAAATAATATTAATGCCAATCATTTTCTAAATGTTCCTGTTGTTAAAAAGCTGAAACACGAAACTGAGACACCCAACTTGCATTTTTTCAGGGTTGCACTATTTCACAACCCATTATTTTAATTTCTGGAAGTGTTTGTGTGGCTTACTGGAGGTGTATCTCAAAGGATTAAATATATAAGTAGCTGAGCTTATGGGATTAAAGCAGGACAGCAAGAAGCTGGAATAAAAGGTCTCCAGTGCTGTACCTTAGAAACAGTACTGGAAAATCCCTCAAGACTCAGTAAGTTTGTTGACATATCAGATGGTGCTGGGTTTCTGTTGCTTGTTTTGAACTCTCTAAAACTTATTGTTTCATATGTATGGTAGAAAGCCAGACTACAATCTCTGAAAGAAGAAGAAAAATAATAAATAATAAATAAATAAATAAATAAGAAAACAAATTAAAAGAGAAATGGTTACTAGTCTTTAGCTTTTTAACCAGGAATTCTACAGCCTTCTCCTAGCATTTGTTTTCATACATGTTCTTTTTGCTGTTCTTTAGCCTTAAACACAGCTGAAAACCTAGTGATTATTCTCTATCTATATATAGCTGCAGTACCTATCTATAGCAAAAGGAAGAGTTTATGGAAAGAAGAATCCTTTTATCTTGGCATTGAAATACACTTGACATTAAAAAGGGGCTTTTAATATAGATGGACATCTGCTGATAATGCAGTATATAAGAAAAAAACAAATATGTGCAAAATGTGCAAACCTAATGGCAAGAGTTCAAAATTAGGGCTTGATCTTCCAGAATTTGTAATCCTAGCTATACAGTGTAGTCTGTATTGGGATATGAACTTTAAAACATAGAGCAGGGTAGACAGAAATGTTGCAAGAATCTGGATTGAGAGAAGAGGCTGCCTCAAATAAGTTCACTGAGGCAAGCACAGGTACTTGCAGCAGGGAGGTGACCTAAATAGGTAATCCTAGGAGGTGGAGAGATACCACTGGAACATCTGTGCCACATCTAGAAGTTGACTGCAGCACGTACAGTAATGTCTGAGCTCTAATACACCTGGTATATGCACAAATAACTATACTAGATGCAGGTGCAATTCATCTCACCTGAGCATTTAACTTTTAAATGCCTCATTTAAGACCAATAAGATGAATTAAAGTGCTTGTTTTGTTTCACTATTTGATTGAGTTATGAGCTGGCTTGATAATTAACTTTTAGATGCCTAAGAGAGATCACAGGAATTTCATCTTGTCTATAGAAATCTGGTGGATCTATAATACACACTTAGTTGGCAGATGCATGTTGATGCCTCTGTGGCACCTGATAATAATATAGTGAGTAAAGTAAGTGATGATACATACTTGCACCAGCTGACAATATACCTGCCCTGGATGTACAAATATAACTCCTAGGGAAGCTTGAACCTTAACTGTGTAAATCTAAATCAGACAAGTATTACCAGCTTTTGCAACAATAAACCTGTGAAATTCACTACTGATAGAAACTTTATTTTATAGGAATTGTTCTCCACAGGAGTTTAGCAGCTCCATGTGCAGCAATTCAAGCAAGCCTTGAGCAATGAGCCTGTCATCAGCCTTGGCTGATGTGGATATAAATAGACAAAGAACAGTACAAATAAGTTGATCTATATGGTCCAGTGAAAAGAGGATCTAATAAAGAGATTTAAGTTAATTTTTTGACTAGAATGACAATTTGCTTATTATCATGTTGTACAGCAGCATGGTTTCAGCATTTTTTAAAGATACTAAAAAAGCTGAAAAATGCAGTAAAGAATCACAAACATTATTTTGAGGCTGGAAGGAAAGTGTAGTATGAAGTAAAAAGCTTGATGTGCTTTAAATAACAAGAAAATAGAGAAGTAATTCAGGTACATAGGCTCATAATGAGAGAACCACCAATTATTTCACCAACTATGAGGACATTCCAACAACTGCCAAGCGGTGGCTGAAGCAACACATTCAAATGAGAGGTTTAAATGTAAGATATGTGAGCAATTAACTTTTGGAACAAATGTGATGGATTCTCCATCTCTTGGCTTCTGCTTGTGAAAACTGGATACCTTTCTGCTAGTTATGATCCAGAAGAACTGCTGGGACACTACTAGTCTGGTCTAGTATTGAATGTGGAGGTTGGTGGCCCTGCATGTGGTAGGGGGGTTGGAGATTGATGATCCTTGAGGTTCCTTCCAACCCTGGCCATTCTGTGATTCTGTGAGTGATAAATTGCTGATATTTAAAGATCCGAGATACAGAAGATGTGGAAGCAGAATGGTTTGTTTTGTATTTAAATGTTATGAATTCATAGTGCCTCTCTTAAATATGGGAGTAGGAATTCTAATTAGGGTAAAAGGATATTTTGTCCTGCCTGTTTTAATCAGATTTTCTTATCCAAAACTTAATCAATCATCTGCCTAATAGAGCATCAATGTCCGCACTGGATTTTAAAATAAATAAATCAAATATTGTATAAACTACCTGGATGAGTGGAATAAAAAAGACAACTTTTCTTACATGGAAGATGTATTTTTTAGTTATTTATATATTGGATGACAGAAAATACCAGTCTCTATTCATTATCACTAATGTACTTTTCTAAGTACTTTGAAATTTAATGACCATGGAAATATATCTTTGCATTAATGAACGTGAATGAATGACTTCACTAACAGGAAGATCAGTGAATAAATGTGAAATTTGCTTAAGCTTGGCAAGTGTCGTGAACACTTTTGCTCACCTTTGGTTTGTTCTGCTCTTTTTACTGTAGAAACAGGCATCCTCACCTAACTGAGGTCTTTGACCAGGCCTTACAACAGTAGCAAGCGCCAGAATATCATCAGACTGGTTTACATTCTATTACCAGCAACTGTAAAAGGAGAAGTGGCTCTTCATTCTTCACCAGATACTGCGTGGATCCAGGGGACTCCACAATTGCATCTGTTCCTAACTGCATTAGTTGGTAGGCAGCTCTTGGCAGAAAACTCAAAGACAGTGCAAAGTGTAAGAAAACAATATGAGACTTGGAGATAGCTGGTATAATTTTCCTTCCTACTCATTCAGTACATAAGTCTGAAAGATAGGACAAACTTGTAACAGGTATATTCTTACTATAGAATGCTATCTCGTATTGCTAAAGCAGTGCTAGCTGTAGCAGAATTGAAACCTGATGAAGTCATGCCTGGCTCTGAAAGTGAGAAAGTTCATGCATGTTCAACCACCAATTGCACCAGATTCCAAGAGCTGATCTTACTTCCCAAGTTATTAGTAATCAAGTGGGTGGCAACCCTGCCTGCGCCAACAAGATTGGAACTAAATGATCTTTGAGGATCTCTTCCAACACAAGCTATGCTATAATTCTATAATTCTGGTTTGTGACCTAGGGCTCCTCAGCATGTAGAATTCTGTGATGTATGGGAGGGTTGTGACGTCAGTTGTTCACTAACAGATTTGCCAGCTTGAGATGCTGAACTAGGGACACCTCGTTATGTACTGTTTGCTATACTTGTCATACAACTGCATCTCATATGAACTCATGTGGGAGTCTAAAATTTAAGGAGCAAAACAAGGCTTGGACCACTGTAAGGAGAGCTCTCTCTCCTACCTTTTTGTCCTCCCTTATCAAAGGATGTCTGAATCGACGGACTGTGATAACGAGAGTTGCTCTGCTCTTGAAGTGCTGGATTTCAAGAATGCTTTAAAGCAGTTCCAGAAACTAGTTGAAAAAATAGTAACCCAGAAGAAAAAGGAAAGATTAGGCTGGTATATTAAAGATGATGGTAAGAGATACACTCTCTCATTGAATGTGTAATAATTTTCACATCAACAATAGCTGCCACAGAAAGAAGGCTGTAGGAAAAATATCAAACTGATATTCAAACTGTGACTTCTTGACTTGCCCTGTGAAAGTGATTTTAATCTTTTATGGCCTATGGTAGATTATAATTATAAAGCCATAGTAATTGCTCATGAAATATAATTGACAGAGTTGCCACATACACAGATTAGCACTTCTCTGGCATTTCCATGATCTGTGGAAGTACATAATGCATTATGTAAATCCACTGTCTTGATTGTGAACAGGACAAAGTTGTTTTTTTTCTTTTAATGCAAGTGACTATTGCCTGAAAGGATAAACTTTATCCTAGATCATTTTTCAGGTTCATTTTAACAAGACTGTATATAGATCATGGAAAGACAATAACTAAGAATTTTTGAGATATTCTTTTACCTATCTCTTTCCTATTGTGTTCTGCAAAGTGGGTGGTTTTGGAGAGTAGGCTGAACACCTTTTTGGCAAAATGCTTTAATGGATACAGTGTGAGGAGCTGAAACTTGCATGTTACTGATACTGAAAGAGAAAACAGGAGCTAGGGAAGACAAGGACAGAAAATGTAGGTTCACAGTTTTTAACTCTGGATGTTGTTCCTCCAATACAGATGAGATAGATTATGATGAGTTCTATAGAACCACACAGACACTTTTTGGTCCAGAAGTCAAGGAGCATAATGTTAAGGCCTTTTTCAGGAAGATAAGCAACAATCCTGATGCAAGGACAGAATGGTGTGAGGTAAGGATTTTTAATATTTATTAAATATATGCAACTCTACTGCCATACCACCAACATTCACCTCCGACACTGTGGGCCAACATAATAAAATATGAGGCATTACTTTTGGAGCAACCCTGATATATCAGCTGAGCTTTCAAACCAAAATTCTTAAACATTAATTATGCTACACTGGTTGTATGAGTTTGAGGAAGCTATCCTCTGTTCTAAGGTCCTTAAACTTACTATGTTGATGCACGTGAATGCATGTTGAAGAATAACCTGACTGAATAAAATCATTTTTCCTGCTTGTTTTGTGAAAGAGCACTGAGCTGTTTACCAGAGCTGCTTATCCTGAAGCAATGTTTGATATACTAGTTTCCTCACATGGCAGCTGGATCTGGAGCATGGACCTGAGGCTAGAAATCAGTATGTCCAATCACGAACTATTTTACTGATACACATTTGCCTCAGGCAAATAATAAAAACTGCAATAAAATGCAAGAAATATTATCACTACAGTATGCAGTTTGTGCCCTGGGGATAGGTCTAACTTTAGATAGACCATCATAAATTCTCTCTCATACCTCTCTTTCCTCTTTACTCAGAGATAAATCTGCACCTTACTTTAGATGGGAAACATTAAAAGCTATACTGCCATTTTAGTAGAGGGTTTTGTAACAAGAGCATTCTTCCTTATTGAATTATGTTGTAATTTATTTTTCTGTCTCTAATGGTAAATAGCATATTTTGGAGAGAAAAAAAAAAAACAATGTAATAATGAGGTAAGTATGAAACAGAATCTGATTTACCCCCTCCCAGCTTCTGGTGGCATATAGCTTAAGGATTTTCTGCAGATTTGCAGCTGCAGAATGTGCTTAGTATTCTTCAATGGGATTTTTATCTAACTGTTCATAAATTACTTCTGCATTCATCAAAAAAAAAAAAAAAAAGATATTTCTAGAGTGTCCACAGTTTTATTCATTTTGTGAAAAAGTACTTTTTTTTGTTTCTTTTAAACATGGTGGTCTGTTTATTTGTTTTAACGTATTTTCTTTTGGGGGAAGAAGTATTTCACACAAAGTTGCTAGAAGTTTACATGTAAGGGAAGTTGTAGGTCCATTACTAAATGTACAAAGGTCAGACTACTTACATCACTCTAAGTCTGACTCTGATTTTTTTAACTTGATCTGGCCTTATCCAGCAAAGTTTGAAATACAATACTACTTCATTGAAAAGCTGCAGTGAATTTTTCAAATTTTAATCCTGGTTAGTAGGAAATTTCTTGGTGATATGTATCATCAGCTATATATGCATTATGGAACACATTATTAATCTAATCTCTGTTCAAAGATAAGATTTTCTTACAAGTAGTGCGGATATAGAGAAAGAGATGAAAACTGTGTATAATCAATGAATATACAGATGTTATAATTAAGAAATAAACAAGAGAGTTTGGCTAAACAGATTATACTGAAAAGATAATAGAGTGCTTACCCTTGTCCTGGACTCACTGTAAAACTCTGAAGGAGGGATCTCCAGGTAAGCCTTCACCTGTGCTCCCAGGGCTGACTCATTACTTGCCTCAGGTGATCAATCAGAGGTTCAGGCTGTGATTCAGCAGTTCCCATAAAACTGAATTATGAATTCTGCAGATTTAGCTTTAATGAAACAACACTGTATTGATCATCTGATAGTCGTTTGAGCCTAATTTACATCAACTGTAACTTGAATGTTAGCTTCTGATTTGTGGTAAAATCCTTTCTGATATGAATAGACCAAGACAGATATTTCCAGACTTACTGGAATGGTTTCTAATAAAATAAAAACAGGACTATAATGTTTGGTGGTGGGTCTTTTTTTTCTCTTCTTTTTTTCTCTGTCAAATTACAGTTTCGGTTTGCTTCACTGAATCTTGGAGAATTATAAATGTCAGAAATTAAGTTAGCGTTCTTTTTTTTCTTACCTGTGCTAAGGGTTTATGACTGTAGCTACACTGCAGTTTTATGGTCTCCTTATCTCTTTTTCAATTCTCGATATTTAAAGATGGGTGTATTTATGCACTGGTAGGAAAGATAGATTTATTTATTTTTTCCACTTATATTTTTAGCTCCTCCTCTTTTTCTATTTTACTTTTTTGAAGCTGACTGTATTTAACACTTGATGAGCTTAAGTCTCATTTGCTTTTCTCATCCTCCTTAGGCTTTACATCGCTTTTAAATGAAACTTTTATTCAAAGAAGCAAGTTTTCTGTTTTGCCTATTGAAAACTCTATTGGAAAGGTAACTGTCCTCTTAAGAGACTGAAAACTATTCTGGATATCCTGCTTGAAACCAGTTGTTTGAGAGAGATGGTGACAGAAATAAATAAGTCTCCTCTAATTGATGCATTCATTCTTATAATGTTCGTTAAACTACTAATTGTATTAGACAAATCACATTTCTCACTTGCAGCTTGAACATATATTAATTACCCCCTATGAAAAATGGAACTAGCCTTGATCTTGCTTTAGCTTCCTTTTCATCACTTATTTTTTCGTTTGTATCATTAATCTTGATTACTTTCTGTAACATACCCAATATTCATCACATCTTCTGTGATCTATGCTCTACTTTTCAAATTTTATTCTAAAGGACTTAATTTCATCCTGTTCTCCTGAACTCCCCTGCTGCATTTTGACACTGTTGAGCATTTCATTTATCTTGAAAGCCAAGGAAGACGCATGCATGTCACTTTATTCCTTTGACATTCCTCTTTCGTCATCTCTGCCTCTCTCCCTTCCCAGAACTCTTAACTTTGACCATTTTCTTCTCACCCTCACAGTTATAAGCTTTTCAAATTTTCCTCTCCATATCTGGCACCTCTTTAGCTTGACAAAATCTGCAGAATTTATTTCCACTATCTAAAAGAGCATGGCCTTATGCAAGCATTCCGTTCCTTTCTCTTCCAGATGTTTCTCTTTTTCAAGTACCTTCACTTTCAAGAGTTTCCAGCACTCTCCACAACAGTTTACCTATACTCAAATGATACTTTTCTGTGAGAAAAAATACATATATATATTTTAAAATTTTCTATTTAGTCATGTTAAAGTCTACTCTTAGGCATTCAGTGGCTCTACAATATATCATAGTCTAACAGCTATCATTTATCAAAACTCTGCATTTCTTCCCTGAAAGTGGTTGACCCTTTGAAAGCTCTATTTTTAGTGGCAAACATGAAATATATGTAAATTGCATTCTGCCTCATACTGTATGTTCTTTGTCAGTCTCTGCTATGGGTTGTGCTCTAGTTGAGATCCCCTGTCTCCATGTTGGAGTCAGCAGAAGCCATTTATGCTACTCTGAGGCATTTCTAAGATCAGAATCCTAGAATCCTTAGAGTTGGAAGAGACCTCTGAAGGCCATCTAGTCCAATACCCCTGCAACAAACAGGGACATGCACAGTTAGATCAGGTTGCCCAGAGCCTGATCCAACCTCACCTTGAAAGTCTCCAGGGAAGGAGAATTCATCATGTCTCTAGGCAGTCTGTTCCAGTGCCTAACCACCCTCACTGTAAAAGACCTTTTATATCCAACCTAAATCTAAATTCTTTAAGCTTAAAGCCATTTCCCCTTGTTCTGTCACCACAACCCCTGCTAAAGAGATATACCTTTTTAGGGCAGAGTTCTGCCTGCTGAGCAGAAATCAAATGTGTCACTGTCTCATGTCTGCAAGAGGCATGACAGGGCACACCTGGGCGTCTCACTTAGAGAGCTCCCACCTCTGTTGGTCTTAGGTCAGATACTATGCTGGCCCAACCATACCATCAAGACTCAGGAGTGACCTCATACTAGGTCAGTTTACTATTTAAAAAATATATATTCTCTTACCAAAAACTTAGTCCTGAGAAAGGTAAAGAGCCTGTTCTCCTTTGCCTGGAAAAATGGGAATGTGCTAAAAATGCAAAATGTCACTCTTATCTTCTAGGAAGATGAGAGGAATGATCCAGGGAACCAGAGGGCTGTTAGCCTAACCTCAATCCCTGATGAAGATGATGAAGCCACTAATTCTAGAAAACATATCCAAACGCATAAAAGATAAGAAAGTGATTGGGAGTAGTCAGCATGTGTTTACAAAGGGGAAATCATAGAAATTGCATATAACCAACTTAATAGGCTTCTACAATGGCATGACTATCTTGGTGGATAAGGGGAGGGCAGTGGATGATGTTTATCTTGACTTTAGCAAGGCTTTAATGTTGTCTCCCATGACATACTCTTAGTCAAGCTGACCAAGGATGGGTTAGTAGGCAGGAAAACAGAAAGAATACTAGCTGAATTTCTCTGTGGCACAAAATCCAGTTAGGGCAAGACAATATTGATGTATGTGCCAGGGAGAAATATTGGTAAATATACTATTTAATATCTTAATTGATGACATAAATGATAGGAATTCCAGGTGTGCACTTGTTGCAGAGATGCATTCAAACATGAATCTGTAGTGCAGATTCATGTTTGGAAACAAGATGGAAACACAAGGTGATGTTACAAGAAATTAAACAGAGGAAAGTAAAGGATTGTAATGGATGATGTATTGACTGATGTTTTCTGATAGATAATAATTGTGTACATAGTAAGGAGGGTGCTATGAAATGAAAGATAGAGACTAATATTATTCTGTAAGAATATGCAGAATACTTTTTGTTGAAAGATGTACACATGAATTGCTCAGATAAGAAAATAGAAAATTCTGGTGTATGAAAAATATTAAACTAGAAATGAGTGTGAAGTTTTGTCTTGCGTACAAATGGGCTTTGCTTTCAGAACACATTAAAGGAAGTGACTATATGATGTCCATAACATGACAAAAAAGATGAAAAAGTATCTCTCTGTACAGCTATAAAGGGCTGACCTCATTTCCTGAGGATGACTAACCTACAGCTGGGTATGGGGATTAAGTTGCTGAGAGCATTTCAGCTGAAATGATTTGCCACCCTGGGAGAAATTAACCTGGGAGAAATTAACCAACCTGCATTTCCCTTCCAGGAATCTTCATTACCATTACTACAAGTAAAACATTGTCAGGCTGAGGAAAATAGTTGAAAAAAAGTTTTAAAAAATGGGCTGTATAGTTTTTTTTTGTTCTTCCCCCCCCCCCCCCTCCCCAAGCAAACAGGGATCTATGGGTCTTGAGGGAAAAGCTCTTCTATGTAGACTAACCACTATGCTACTTTGAATCAGTTTACAAACATGGTGACTTTTGTTTCATCTGCTCCTTCCAGTCTTTCATTCTAGCTGAAGTCTAGCTCAGGAAGCACAAGTAGATAAAAGTGGAAAAAGGAAATAGAAAATGATTGCTTACAGACAATCATAACAAACCAAATTGGTACTAATAGCTTTATCAATTAGACTGTTTTTATTCCTGGTACCCTGTTTATTCTGGCTTCTTTCCAAACACTGATGAAAAGTTGTGCCTGACCAGCAGATCTCTGCAGTCTAAAGTCATACTGACAGCTAATAACTGCGAGAAATAATGGAGGGAAATTCCTTATTCAGGAATTTGAAATGATAGAGAAATTACACATAAAAAATTGACTATCTGTATATAAATATATGCTCCAGATGTAGTATAGTTTTTAAACTGCTTGTTCTATTTTGTTTTGTTTAGATTTTTGGCTATTTCATAAGAGAAAATGGTGCCACCCCTTCCCATTTGCGAGAAGAAAACACAGTTTTCCTTACATCTGAAAAACAGCAGATTACTTATCCAGGTAATCATCTTGTGTTTAAAACAAACCCCTAAAATGTGTCTGTTCAGTGCTCCCTATTGCACATCTTATTGAAGTTACAGTGATAAAATCTCACGGTTGCTTTTGTTTACTAATCATGCTTCTTCTTCTTGTGTGCTCCAAAATAAGTTTCTTACTAAGGTACCTGAGCACTCCTGAATCATTTTGAAACTACTAAAGTGTCTGATTCAGACTATTTATTTTCCTTTTGTGTTTTAAAAAAATATATATATACGTATATATTCTAGAAAGAACTAGTATATGGCTGATGTGTTAATGTTATTTTAAAATGCAACATGATTTTTAAAATCGAGTATAGAATAATATATGACTATGTTTTACAGCCTTGAAGTTGGTGCCAATATGTATTTCAGGAAGATAAAATGTTCTTGGTATATGGTTTTATTTGTTTAGTATTATGGGGGGGTGGTTTGTATGTATTGTATTTAGACTTTTCTGTCTGTGAGATGCAGAGTCACCCTGTGTCTTTCACAGTTGTCAAGGAACGAGATATGATTACAAGCATAGTGAAGGTGCCCCATTTGGATTTCACTGTAACGTCCTCTCAGAAAGGAGTGCTAACTATTTTCAACAACAAGGTAATTTTGACTCAAATAAACTTTTCCTTATTCTACTACGTAGTATATACATGAACTGAGTGAACTGTGATCCAGAGTGCAAACTTACCCATAAAAAAGCCAGATATCTTTTTTTTTTTTTTAAGTTAACTTTTCCTATACTTTTAAGTACAGTGGGAAATGTACATTGTTATTTTTAATTATAATCTTACTGAACAATCCATAAAAGATAAATAGACAAATAAGTAAATAGAGTAAACAAATAAATAAGTAAAAAGAGATTGCCAATAAGAAAATGAATAGAAGTCAGTTCAATATAAAATAATCTACCTTATTTTTTATTTATTTTTTAAGTTTTCTTACATTCTGTATATGCTATATTTGTCACTGTGTACTGCATACACAGTGGAAACCAGAGAATTAACTGTTTTCTATAGCTACTGGGAATATTTAGAATGGACAGATTTTTTGGTTGTTTGCAAAAAAGGAGTTATTCAATACAGTAAGCTCTTAAAGCTTGAAAGTCTTGAATTTTCTGTCAGTCTTCACAACATTGATTCATAGTCATTCCCCTTGTCAGCAAATTGTAGGGAGATCTGTACCGTTTTAGGTAGAAGTTCAGGTTCAAGATCATTTTAAAGTAGGTTTTGTAAATGAGTCTCTCAGATGATATTACTATTTAAATATACAATTCTAGCTGCCATGAGGTACATCACAGTTCTATGTTCATTGGCACTTTACATTTATACGATTTTAATACAACTAACTTATTAAAAGCTTTATCAAACAATGCAGTAAAGCTTTTAAACAGCAATAATATTTTCTATGGGGTCAGCTAATTAGTGCATAATGCTTCTAATAGCGGCTTGGAAAGCAACAGTGTTCTCCTGTGGATGATTAAACAACAAAGCAATACTGCAGTTTTGGTAAATACTGAAGTAATTTGTTTGAAAGCCTGGTTCTTTGTCCTTCAGAGTATTATCCCTCTTACATACCTACAAAAAATAATTTCACAAAGTATAATGTTAAAAATAGTTTCCTTTCTCCCACTCCCACCTCCTCCAGCCCTCCAACTGCTTTGAAGTTCTGAATTGCTGCTTTCTCATAGTCTGGACTGATGTCACTGTGACATCAGTGACTGCAGTGTAACTGATATTACACCCAGCTGCTTAATGCAGTGAATTACAGGAAACCTCAGATCCCATTTACAGATGGGATTTACATTCTGAAAATGATTAAGGCACTGTGACGTTTCAGTTGATCTGAGCAAATGACCTCTGACTTCATTAAAATTGCTCTGATGCATCTTGATGCAAGCTAGAGAAAAATCTAGCAGTTTAGCATTGCATTCACTTGAATCTTGTTACTAAAATATGACTTTGTATCATAAGGCCAAATAAAGAGTTAATGCCTTTTACATCATTTTTCTTCATCAAAGGCCAAGGACGTAGAGTGTCCTTAAGCCTCAGCTAGTGAGTTGTTTTGACTAATCTGTCTTTTTAGCATGTTGATAAAGGACTATGAATATACTTGCCCTGAAGGTGCTGCTTGGTAATACTTCTGCTCAAAATATGAGCTCATGAGCAACGTATTGACAGTCAGACAATAAAACTTATTTTTGTATAATTCTTGCTCTTTTAAAGTCCAGACCATTAAATACACAATCTTCTTGGATTCATATATATCTCACACAAGTCAGCGTGTTCCATGTACGTGAATGGTGAATAGTATTTGGTCTGATACAATCAGGGAATCTGACATAAAACATATCTTAACTTTGCCACATCTGAGACATTCAAGATAGGGTCGTATTCTATTCATTCACACTGAGGAAAACTGATGTCCAGTGCAAATAAGCTTTCCACAAGATCAATTTAGTATTGTTTTATCTGCTCTTTGAAAAGCACATATAACTAGTTTTTAATTGATACTGTGTGAAATCTGAGGAAAAAAAAAAAAAAATTACGTATAAGAATAAGAACAAGAAAGAGATTTTAAACCACCACACTGCTTTTCAGTGTAGTAAAACTCAGTTTAATGTGAAACTTGTTTAACAGTACTCTGCTCGAAGACCATCCTTGGTAACTCTGTGCATCACACCTTTATGAGAAGAAACACCATGATCACTGCTTCTCATTTTATGAAACGAAGAATTTCTGGGATAGGAATGAGGCAGTACAGATTTATTATGGATGAGGAACGTGGGCAAGAGGAGGAGAAAAAGCATCTACCAGTATTTCAGGAGGGAAAAAACTGCTTTTGAAAACTGAACATAGAGCTAGAAGACACAGAAGGTGACCCTGTCTCTGCTGTATAATGGCACCAGATATGCCTACCTCCCTGTGACTTTCAACATATTAGTTTCCAAGACATAGGCTGGGCTGTCTGCCAGTAGTTAACGTTGCTGAAAGGTGCTATATCAATATGGTTATTCCTATTTGCAGTGTAAGGTGCTGTCTCTACCTGGCTGGCACGAGTTCACATAATCTCAGCCAGAATCAGCTTGTGTTTCTGTATCCCATATCCTACCTCTCATGGGAGTTATGGCTGTCAAAGAACATTAAAAGTACAATTACATTAGAAAAACAGCGGATCTGTACTCCACTATTAAAAAAGTTCTGTTTTTTCTTTTTTGCGGAGTCAAACATCACAAACGTTAAAAACAAACAAAGTGAAGTTACTGTGATAGAAAAAGAGAATTTAAGTTCCTCACTTTACATATAGAGAAACTGTCAGTAGGCTTAAGTACCTTCCTCAGATGTTAACGGCAAACTCTTTCTATTGGCTACTAATCTTCTGTTCTGCCGGTGGTACAGCAGAGCTGTTTTTAGACTTCTAGTTTAAATGCTAACAACATTATTTTTATTTTTCAGATGAAAGTTCTGGCAACCACCAGTGTTAAAGTAAGTTCATTTTCCTCCTTCTTTTAAATCATTTGAAGTAAAATTCAGTAAGTATTATGGTGAAATAATCAGAGATTGAGCATTATTCAGTATGTCTTCTGACCTTGAGACTTCTGTGTAATCTGACGTGGGGCAGAATTGGATGAACACACTCAATTTTTTCCTTTCAGTTAAGCAAATATTTATGTAATCTGATTTATTTCTTCTGATAAAAAGAAATCTGAGATAAATTTTGCTTTTTTCTACCAAATTGTCTATTGGTATAATTTCTACTCATTACCTTTCTAAGACATTTTCTTCTAAGCTCTAACACTTCTTTTGTCAGTGTAAAATTTGACTGAGAAAAAAATATAACTTTATTAGTGAAAAACAGTTCTACATCTTGCTAGTTGGATTGGTAGGCTATATAATATGCACTTTAAAAGCTCATTTTACCCTCTGATTATCACTGCACATTTTAGGTAATTAATTTCCTTCAGTTAACGTGCAGACAAGAGAAATGCCATCAGACCTAACATAGCTATGTGATCCCTTGACCTTAAAGTCTATGTAGGTGTCTTGTGCCAGGGGACAGTGCATTTTTGTTGATTCGTATTCACATACCATGAGTGTTCTAAAATGAAATAGAAATACTCCAGGCCACAGGCCCGATTATTCAAAGTTTGCAAGTCTGGGCGTAGACTGCATTTAATCTGTTGCAAGGCTAATCTGTCCTGTGGAATTGATGTGGAGAGAGAAACTATTAGGAACATTCTTGAGATCGGTTGGCTTTTAGAAACAGACTAGAGTCAACTTAGAGCTTCTCTTACCATTCTGTTACAGGAATGAATTTTAATAGTTTGCTCCTGCTTTGTTTCTAAGAACAATTTTTCCAGTCCATATACGTAAAGGTAGACTTAGATCAGAACAATGTTCAGTGCTTTTCTCCAGGGACACCAAGGGGAAAAAGCTGGAAGTCTGATGTTACACTGGGCAGTATGTGGGTGTATAGTACTCTTTTTCATCTGGGTACTAGAGACTAATTTTAGAATTAATCATCAGTAGAGGTGGATGGTGTTTACAGGAAAATTTGGCAGCCATGGCAGAATTTGCACCGTTCAAGGAGAACTTTGCCATATGAAGGAGAAAGGAGGATGGGTTTAAAATGATGGTACCTCTCCACGTTGTAGTATAATAATTAGAACTGTGATTCCAAACAGATACAATATCAAAACTGGTACATTTTACATTATCTGTGAGTGCAGACAGCTGTTCAGCTCTGCACTGTCTGCTGCCTCTTTTACTATGTTCCACCTTCCAATGCTTTTCCAGCTGAGGTGCACCTACTTTTGTATGCTTCCCTAGGGAAAGGAAAGGGAAGATAAGAAATAGTTTAGATTCCTCTCCTTTGGGATGGGGCATCATTGCTGCTGGGTATCACTGGATTGGTGGAGATCATTGCTGCACACAATGCTATGAAATGAGCAATCTGAATTAAATATTCCTATTTAAATGTTTGCAATGAAAAGTCTTCTCCTTAGCTAATACAGCTTCCTCTCATTCATCCTCTAATTACTGTGCTGAAGACAGAATGAAACTGGCTATTTTTGGCTGGAACTTCTTGATGTTTTTAAAAGATTTAGATCTTTGCAGAACATAATGGTTTAAGCTACTTTACTTTTAAAACTGAGATGCTATATCCTTATCCCAAATTGCTGTGAAATAAAATGGGTTGAGAGAATAAGTTCCACTTTCCAGGGGGAGATAAGAGAATTCCACTTACTTCCTATGCAGTAGAAATAGTATGTGGATCAGAAATGGCTAAGTCATGGCTTGAACCAGTGATCAAGCATCTGGTGGGAAGGCAGGGCCAACCCAGGGGAGCTCAGGTGCATGCAATGTACCTGAGTGACCAGAAGGAGTGGAGCCAGGACCTATCCCTTTCCAGACCTCATTTAAGGGTTGGCAGTGGAGGCAAGGGTACTTTGCTGGAGATTTGCCCATATCTGGGGCCTTCTGAAGGTAAGTGGAGTTTTTCCTAAAGCAGAAGGGCTGTGAAATACAGTAGTTCTAGGAATAAAATCAAGTAAGTTGCAGCCAACGGAGTTTTCCTAGCATCGTGACAGTATAAATAGAAATATGAGCTATGACTATGTCATATCAATCATTTATGATTTTGTTACAGATATTTCATGGCAAACAGGTCACTTCAATCAAACCTGATTTCATTTCTTGATGAGATTATGTGGCTGAGCAGAAATAACAGAGGCATAAATATAAAACTTAAAACTCTACTGTATTTGACTTAATGCCATGTGACTTTCTGCTTTAAAATATGGCCACTGCAAAAAAAATACTGAAGTACATATTAAATGAGTTAAGGACTGTCCAACTGTCAGGAACCAGAAATAGTAGGCAGCATGGAAACACTGTTGAATGGAAATATTGATAATGAATAAGTTACTTCTCTTGCTGCATGGGAGTGAAATGCATTAAAAGACAGATAATACAAAATAGCATAGACAAACCTAGTGGATGGAAGCTAGAGTCAGACAAGATAAAAAATTGTATTGGAAATGAGGGAGTGAAGACAGAGCCCTGGAGTGACAGGATGAAAGAATAGTGAAAGCTGGTGTAGCTGCCTGGGTTGTCTGTCAAGTACTGCAGCATAAAGAGGAAAAGCACATAAAGCTTTCACTCTGAAGCTGAATTTAGGCCACATGTTTTGCTTATAGTCTGTCAGACTCTTCTATCTGCAGCTTCTCAGTGAGTCAAATCAATCTGTCAGTGCACACATTGTTTTCTTCAGGACTTCACTCTGTTTCTGATAAGTCTCAAGTCCCACAAGGGAGTCTGTTTTGGCAAGAAATTTCACTGTGGATCTTAAGGATATAGCACTGTGCTCTACTATTTACACAGCCTGTTTATTCCATGGGCTAACATTCTTGAACATAGAACTAGCCTGGAGGAGAGCATTCAACTTCGGCAACAATCTCCGCACCTCTGTTAAACTCTATATTTCTCATGGAATGGAGGTTCTCTGGAGCATGCTATGAAGGAAGCCAAATTCTGTTGTCTCTGCAGACCTTTACATCTATGGGTCTTTGGTGTAATTTATGTAATTTCTCTTGAATTATTTAGGATGAATTTAGTGCAACTTTTCTTAAGATGTGAATCTTTCATTTATATATATGAAAAAAAAATCTGTTGAAGGAAGAAAAATGCTGGTGTAACTGGGTGAATATTGTTTTCTATCTCTCTGTTGGTGTTTCATATAGCCTATATCATACTGCCTCCTATCATCTGTAGACTGAAACACAGAAGAACATAACTAACAATTTTTCCTCAACCTGTAGTGTTGGTGTTGCCAACTAAAGAACTGACTCCTACAAAAAAGAGATAATTCTATAAATAGGCATCTAAGAAAAATAGTCTTTGAAATAAAACACAAAATGTCTTTTATTTTCTTGGCTTAAATTTTGGGTTTATTAGAAATTACTGGAAATTCAGGTATAGTCTAGTCTATACTCCTTTTTTGGTCCAATTGTTTTTTTTTCCACTTACAGAGTAGTGCTCAAGGTAATTTACTTCCCATTGTAATGACTGGTAAGGTCTATCTCTCACTCTTCTGCATGCTACTTTGCAGTATTTTGTTTCTCTTTGATCAAAAAATATCTTTCACTCACTGGACCACCTACTGATCTTACATTATGTGTCTTTTTAGACCTCAGTCCAAACTCAATGAAAACTAAATCCTTAAAAGATAACAAATGCGAAGAGTTATAAGACTGTTTTGTAGCATAGCAACTGTAATGCCACCTGACAGCTAGAACCAGCATGGTATCTGCAGCTTGTAAAATATTTGTTATGCAATTACATGTGTCATCCCATTATACTCACATACTCACCACTAATCTGAATTTTCCAGCCTGGCCCTCTCATTCTTACTAAATGATGCAGAACTTCTGAATATCCTAGTAGCACCTACAGCTAGTTTCTGAAAACAAATACGTTCATAGAAATACTCTGATAACATCAGTCTCTATAGATTGAGTCCCAGTTAATAGATTTTTTTCATAAACCATTCAGTTTTCCTTTCTGGCAATAGTTTTCCATGAGGAGGAGCATTAAGTATTTCTATAGATCTGTCAGTTCATACATAGCTGTTACCAATGAGCATTTTCCTTATCTTTTACCAAAGATGTTATGGGCCTCGAGGGCAGCATGTTAGTGAAAAAAATCTACAAATTATTAAGATCTTAAAAGAAGTTGTAGCTGCCTATATCTGAACTTGTATGTCAGATAATCATACCTTGTAAGGTATGACTATTGCTTGCACTTTCAATGATATTTCTTTTTGAGTAATTTCTTGTATTCTTCTGTTTCTGTCTTCACAGAACAATTTCATGATAGAATTTTATTATAGCAGATCATGGGATTTCCATTGCATTTTAGATCAGTTGATTTCCTTTCAAAATCTGGATACTTAGTAAATTTTTCCATTGTTTTCAACACATAAAAACAGAAGTGGTTCAATCATTCAATCTATTGAAAACAGTAGATTTTCAGGCAGGCATTAACAATTCAAAATTTTTATTGATGTAGTTTCTTTGTTAGCTGCTGAGAATTTATTAAAGATTTATTTTTTGTTTAGATTTTAAATGTTTTTGAAGAGGCAAGCAGTTGCTGCTATAATTCAAGTCAAATCAAAAGGACAAGTTTCTTACTTTCCATTTCTGGAAGAACTACAGTCTGGTTCTCTTTCAAATGCACTACTTGTCCTCTCAAATCAATGCTCTTTTAAACCAGGCCTTTATTTTTGAACCACTGATGTAGAAGGGCTGTGTTACTCCGTAAACAAAAAAAAAAAAAGAAAGTGATAGGTGGTATCAGTATCCTTCTTCGGACTATACTAGGTTGTCAGTTATCCATAAACTGTACTGAATTTTTAACTGCATGGAGCAAGATCCTCTTACAAATTTCTGGATGCCTTAGTGTCTCTATGAATTAGTTAAGAGGCATAGGGAAACAGAGAACAATTTTCATATTTGTAGCATTGTGTGAAAACATTTGCCAGTGATGCCTACATACCTTCATAAAATGTTTAAACCTAGGAGATCTTGGAAAATCAGGAATTTCTACTTCATACTTCTGAGTTAAGTCTGAGCGTGACACATCTTTTGTTCTTTGTAGTATAGTTATGCTTTAAGAATTACAGAGAGCCTTTATTTGGGAATTTCAGCAGATAGCGAGCAGGAACATAGCAAAAATAAACACACTCCTAGTGCTGTTTCTGTTATCATCAGAGAAGAATAAGTATCACAGAATCACAGAATTGGCAGGGTTGGAAGGGACCTCAAGGATCATGAATCTCCAACCCCCCTGCCACATGCAGGGCCACCAACCATCCCACCTAATGCTAGACCAGGCTGCCCAGGGCCCCATCCAGTCTGGCTTTGAACACCTCCAGGGACGGGGCATCCACAACCTCCCTGGGCAGCCTGTTCCAGTACCTCACCACTCTCTCCGTAAAGAATTTCCCCCTGACGTCCAAAAAGTAGTATAGATACAGAAACTAAGAATAGCTAGATTTAAGCTTTTACTAGATAATCTCTCTCATATATTCTTCTGTGTTCTCCCTGTCATGCATATCATTATAATTGCACAGGATTACACCTCTGTTTTCATTAATGTAAATTGTTTGCTTATGAAAAGACATGCTCCCGTGATTGCTGGAATTGTTATCTAAAAGATGGTGTGTATTTCTTACTGTAATTCTCCAAGATCTTATTTTTGTTTTTGCTACTTGTTAATTTCTTTGGTTACTCAGTAGCGTCTCGCACGGTAACTGGATTGTTTCTGCTAAGTAGGTGAGAAATACTTGGTGTTCACCTAGGATAAATCACTCCAGAAGGTGTGTACTGACTGACTTTTGAAGATTCAGTTACCAGAACAGTATTTACAGGAAACAGGACTTTTCAGAGGAGGGAAACATTTTAGCTAATAATATCAGATGTCTTCTCACATCGCTGTCCTGTAATGCAATTAGTTTTGCTTTATTGTTTCACAGTAATATCTGAGATTATTTGTATTTCTAGGCAAGCATATGAAAAAGATTCTGGTTTCTGGTTATCAGGGTTTTAAGTCCTTTCATCAGGGCCTATTTTATTTCCTAAAATTTAACTACAAACACACACGCACAAAAAACCACTCTTTGCACTTCTTGACTGCTTACAGAGGAAGTCTAAGATTCTCCTTATTGCTTGAGTTTGATTATCCTTTTGCCTCTGTGCCATCTCACTGCATACGATTGCATCTTGCAAAGGCTTCAAAGGCTGCCTGGTTATTCTGGCTGCATAAGTACAAACCAGGTCTACAAAGTGGTGACTTAATTAAAAATGTGAAACCAATTTTTTTCGTACCAGTTAGTTGTTGTTATCTGTCACTATTGTGGAAGATCCAGAAAGTTGGAGATAACAAAGTCTTCTGTAAGGATTATCAAGCATTCTCCATAGCCCCTGAAGGGCTACAATTTTTCTCTTGTCTCTTGAAGAAAAACAGTTTGAGAAATCCTTGTAAATGGATTACCACTTGTACATGGCTGTTAGAAGGGAAACAAACAATAGAGTATTGACATCACTGTCAGGATTATGGGTCCTTTACACTAACAGCAAAATCAATATTGTGTATAATTGAAACAAAAGTGGAAGCATCAGCTGCTGCCTCATCCTGTCACCAGTGAGAAGAGACCAACCTTGCTCTTGCCGTAAGCGCCTTTCAGATATTGAAAGAGAGCAATAAGGTCTCTCCTCAGCATCCTCTTCCTCAGCCTAAACAGCCCCAGTTAGTTCCTTCAGTCTCTCCTCATAGGGCATATTCTCCAAGCCCTTCACAGGCCTTGTTGCCTTTCTTTGGACCTGCTCCAGCACCTCAATGTCCTTTCTGTACTGAGGTGCCAAAAACTGAACACAGTACTTGAGGTGGGGCCTTACCAATGTACAGGGGCAAGATTACTTCCCTAGTCCTGCTCAACATGTTGTTCTTGATAGAAGCCAGGATGCCATTGGTCTTCTTGACCACCTGGCACGCTGCTGGTTCATACTTAGCCGATTGAACTTCAGTTCACCATCATCTTAGTCTTGTGCTTTTTGCTTTCTAATTCATTTCAAGGATGAAAACTGTATATTGAGCACCACAGATCTCTGTTTTAGCTCTAGTGGAAGTACTTGATAAATAGCTAGTGTTGTTTAGAGGATACAGGTAGGCATAGCTTCCTTGAAGATTGGGGGAGGGGAAAAGAAAAAGTAATTTAAGTCTGTGTCATTGTTTAATTGTAACTTTTAAAATAATGGTTTTGCTATTGCAAGTATATCAGAAAACATCCTGTATTTCAGTACATGAAGTTAATGTAGAAGATACTTATAAGTAAGATATATAAGATAAATAAAATAAAACCTATTAATAAACCATGGGCTAAGATTTTGAACAGAAATTTTTAAAAGTTTAAAAAAAAAAAAATGATACAATCTGGAGCATATTCCTTTTCTAACCCACTCACATTTTCAAAAATTAATAACTGCTCCAATGTATATATTTAATGGTTAAACAAAAGCAAATTTCAAGGTATTATAGTAAATGAGTCTCCACTTTGCAAGATTAATTATTTTACATTATACAATTATACAATTGCAGGTATATTCAAAAGATGGGTTATCACAGGTATATTTACAAATAGATTCTGTATATACTGCATATATCTATTGGAAGTATGTTTTTATATTATTTAATACAAAAGACTTATTTTTAGAGAGATTCATTTTTGTAGGATTTATTTTCTGAGTGGGGTTTCACCTACAGCTGAAAATTTCAGTACCTTTAACTTTTTTCCTTGGATACAGTTTAGTTTAAAAAAAAAAAATCCACTTTAACTCAGATATATAGCCTCTTAACTTCAATTTGCTGTACTCAGAATGTTTCAGTGTTATCACAGTTCAACTAACAGTATACTTGTGTTGTGTATATCTTATGTGCAATCTCTGTGTCTGTGAGTTGTTGATTGCAGACTGAGCGGAGCTGCTGCATTTGTGAGCTACTACTGGAGTTAGAACTCTCAGTCTCACTAGCTTGGGCTGCATCTAGCAATGGTTAGTGCTGAGTATATGGAATTTATGCAGAGATGGTTAAATACTTCTTAAAACAATAGACAAGGTTATAAATTCTCAGAAAATCCTTGATTAGCTACTCTTTTTGTTTTTATCAGGATACTGCTTGGATCAATGGATGTGATTTCCTGACTCAGCTGAAATGTGTTGTGGCTGTAACTGAAAGGACAATCATTGTCTGGGACTATACCTCAATAGGGAAAAAGGTAGTGTGTTGGATCAAGCAAATGTGAAAGGAGATTTGGAGAAGGTTAATCTATTTTTTTTTCAATGTACACTCATATCCCTTTTGCCAACAGGATGAATGCATTAACTTTTGTCTTTGTAGGAAGAAACTCAATGAAACAGTGTAGTTCATATTAAAGAAAGAATACCCTTTCCACGCCAAATGTAATTTTTAGACTGTCTTAAAGCTTGAAAGAAAAAGGAAAATCTTGTCCTATTGTTGTGGCAAACAAACTGATAAAAGCAGTTTATTTTTCTGCCTGTATCTAATGCAGAATGTGTATGTATCTGATGTATGTGCACAGCTATCTTGGACTGTATAAAAATCAAGGGACAGGTCTTCCAAAGGAATTCAGCACAGACTCCTTTGAGATAACTTCCTGATTTAAAGAAAATCTTGCTTCACATATTATATTTTTATTTGGACTTTTCAAGTATAAAAGCATCTCAATTTTGATGTTATATGTTCAAGCAAGTTTATATTTATGCAAGCTTATACTTTATTATAAAATATGATTTTTTTTACTAGGATTTCTCATCCATGCCTTAGCTCTTTCGCCCAGTTTCTGTGGTTTTCTCAGTAGCTTTGAGGAGATATAAGGAAAAGAAGCAAAGTAAATATTTTTAGAATAAGATGAAGCTTTATAATTTTTTCATTTGTTCTCTTAAAATTACAAGTCCTGTTCCCATGCTCAGATAAATCAATGGAAGTCTTTCTCCCCATTCAGTTGCAATTCTGAGAAGGAAGACTTGAACATTTATTCTCATAGAGGTTTCCTCCCATCATTATATCAGTAAGAGCTGTAACTGTCTTGTGGCTGAATGAGAAATAATTATCTTTTGAAATCACAGGAATAATGTACACTCTGTGGTATGTCTTTTCAGTATTTCTGTGCCATACAGAGAACTATGGAGTGGTTGATTTCTATGGTATATGAACAGTTGACAGTTTAGGTTGGCAGGGTGCTTTAATCAAATAACAGATGGAGTCCAGATAGTATAACCAATAAGTAGTATAATGCAGATGACCTCAAATACTATTCCCAGGCCTTCTCAGTGTAGGAAAATACCACAACGGCTTGCAGCTGTATTCACTGCCCTGTCTCAATATCTAAAAATTTGGGCACCTGCCTACTTAAGCACATTTGGTACTCCTATGCTGTATTAATAACTTTTAACTGTGTTACTGTTCACTTCATGATTTGAGTAATTCTGTAAGTCAGCTATCTCACATTTCCTGTTGACAAAAATGTTGTCAGGAAGAAAACCATTTATGATCTTAGCAAATACAGCATCCCAATAAACAGTTTACTGAATTTCACAGGGTAATTACTTTATTGTCAAACCAATGGAAAACAGTCTGCTCTGTGTTTGCACGGCATCTGTGTCTGATCAACTGGGTGAGGATAACATCCTAATGGGAGATGACAAAGGCTACGTTAACCTACTTAAAGTGACCAGTGATCACTTTGGATTGAAGCAACGTGAAGGTAAAAAAGAATCTCAACTTCGGATCTTGGATTCCAAAGATTTTAACATGTAAGTTATTTATTATAAAATATTTTATGTTGGGCACTATTAGTTTGGGGTATTCTCTGGCCTGAGTGAAGGGTGAGTTTCTCTGTGTGAATTAACCCAATCTAACAAAGAAAATAATTTTTAAACTGCAAGTAATGTAATTTGCTTGTTGTTGTGTGAAGGAAATGATAGAATTTTCAGTCGATCTTACAGTAGAAAGCCTGGAGAGCGAAATCTCAGGGAAGAATTCACAATTGCTTTTATCCAGACATGGGAAGCCTCATTGCGTCTTATTAAATAGAAGCATCATTATTACTAGAGAAGAGCATAATTCAGCTCTAATACTAGCTCTGTTCTAATGTTTGCTTTTGAGCTGAGAGAGGTGTTCTGGACCTGGCTTGGATATTCAATGATAGCATTTATTGAGTATAATTGTACTGACAAAATTTCTGTCCAGCTATGGGCATGTTGCAGTAGATGCTACTAAATCCTAATAATAACATCTCAATTTATATCCATAGTGTTAAACGCAAGCTACACGATGACTGGGTTTTGAAAGTTAAATATATTTCTGACCTAAATTGTTTTGGATCCTGCTCCTCGGACAGCATTCATTCATTTGTTTTAGATGACATAAAGCGACTAGAGGACAACTTGTAAGTATGTGATAAAGTCAAAAAAAAAAAAAAAAAAAAGACTACTTGCTTTATAACTGCATGAGATTAGTGCCTTGCAAGATGCTATCTTGTTGTATTGAAGCTGTCTTTTCTAAAGCACTGATAATGCATATAAAAATACCACTGCTTAAATACTTTAACGTTTTTGTTTCTTAGCTTATAATGTAGGAAAGAATTGATATATGTGTTTATTGCTCATCGTCTCTAAAAATATACTACATTGGCAGTGTTATCTGATTTAACTTCTCAGCAGGCAAAATACGGTTAGAAAAATATTGCATTGTTACATGTATATCATGTATCTATTTATTTAAAGTTGATATCTACAAAAATCAAGGAAGTTTCAGTTATAGATTTAATTTCACAAGATTCAGTTCCACTAGCTTAAATCAAGACAACAGTTTATTCTGTGAACTGTGAGATGTTCCATTTGACTTTTCTGTAAGTTTTGGAATGCTAGAATTCATTTGGAAAGAAAACAAACGCTGGAAAATCAGAATAGCCAAAAATGTACATGCTACCACCAATCACTGTTTCTTGTATAGAATGTTAACCACAGATGTCTTGGTAGGTCTTTCAGTTAACGCTAACTTCAAATGCAATAAAATATATATTTTTATAATATATTAATGCTTCTTACTTGATTAACTATTTTATTGATGATTACAGACCTGTAAAGGAATTTTCTGTTCCTAGAGGAGTCAATGCCTTCACGTACTGTGGAAAAGCAAAGGTTATTGTCACTGGGGGTAAGTATGAGGCTTATGTAATGTCAGAGGAGAGTAAGTTTTTTCCAAGATATTGTTCTGTTGTAACTTTTTATTTTCAGTTAAAGATAATGAAATAAAAGCTGAGTTAGTATCTTAAGAGTATAAATAGTGGCTTCTTTCTTAAATGACAGGAAGCAGAGGTATTGCTTATAATTGCTGGGAGCTAGGCTCTCAGGAGATGCTGTTCCTGAAAGAAATCTAATGAGGACTCAGTCTGTGTTTGATTCAGGGATTTTGTTATTTATATAACAAAACAAGAGAAAACAGTAGGTTTGATCTACTATTAAAACACTTCTCCAAGCCACAGTGATGACTGTCTTAGTCAGGTTTTAGAAGTTTCTCCTTGCTCCCTTCGCATTACTCCTTAGCCTTTCTTTCTTGTCATAAGCAGTCACACTGGCCCACCTTAACACTTTCTGTCGTTTTTACCTTTGATCATGTTTCTCCAAAGCTTTACTGTTCTTTTTTTTCCCAATGGAGT